AGTGGGTAGCCTATCCCTTCTCCAGGGGATCTTCCTGACCCAGGAATTGAACCAGGATCTCCTCCAGGCAGGTTCTTTACCAACTGAGCTATCAGGGAAGCATATAGATATGTCAGCTCTTAATCTACAGGTGCTTCCAGGAGGCAGTGCTGTGTTTTGGTTTTTTTTTTTTTTTAAGTTTAAAATAGTTTCATAAGGATATAACACATGTATGGCTGTCCATTCTATAAAATCTTCATCATAGAACTTATGATACACCTAATTAGCAGTAGCACTCAGAGTTCCTAAATAGTCATTGTTTTTCTCTTCTCTGCATAGCCTTCTTTTTGTTGGCTGCCTTCTGCTTTTGTTGCATGATCTCAGATTCCTTCTGTTTCCTCTGAGAGGTAGTCAAACGACCTGCTTTTCTGTTTCCCTTACTAAGCTCCTGGGATTTCTTTATGTATTTCTGATGGGCATCTTCTCCTCCTTGATTTCCACAGGCCATGCTGACCAGCACACTGAGCCTGGAGGAGAGCAACTCGGGAGAGCAATGACTTCCTTACAGGCTCTGCGGCGGAACCCCTTTGTCTGGAAGATCGAGCTTGCACGGGTGCCCCCAGTGCTGACTTTTTTCCTTAATGAAGAATTTATTTTGTGGACCTACACCCAGCAGTAAAAGTTTTAAAATTTTGACTTTTGAGGCAGCATTTTAGAAAATCTACTTTATCCTCACACGCTGGCATTGGAAACCAAGAACGTCTGAAAGCTTTTGTATAATCTGATTAAGAGCTGAATAAGAAGAGGAAAGGGGTTAACGATTAGTGGTTTAACACCACATTTACCTAAGCTGAAAAGGTTTTTCTAAAGATCTTTTTAGAAACTTTTGTGAAGTATGTAATATGAGGGCTGGGCTGGAAGCCCAAAGTTAACACATCCACCATCCTTTCTGCCCATTCTTGTCACTTTCAATGGCTAGAATTCTTCCACACCTAAGCTCTGAGACAATCCTCCTCCATTTTCATCAGGCATGGAATTAATTCACTGGTTTTTTAGCACCAACAGAAATCTGTAAGCTTTTACTCTGAGTGACTGTTGTTGGTTATCACATGCCTTCTCAAGGAACCTGACATCACTCTGAAAGAGGCAAAATCTGGTCCTTAGGGTGGGGAAATCTTAGACATTACACTGACTTACAGCTTTTAAAGGACCACAGTACATTATTAGATATAGAACATATCTCTGATAATTTCATAGGAGACAATGAGATAAAAACAATCTTTAAAGCTCATTTAGTGGAGCAGTAATAATAATTTTTTTAAAGTTTGGGAAACACTAGGTTATATGGAAGGACTTAAAAACACATGAACACTATTCCTTTTCTCATCCCACAATGCCCTCAAGAAAAAGGACATTGCATTGTGAATTAGAAGACTTGAGTTCTAACTTTCATATCTACCACCAATGAGCAAATACCTTCATTTATTTATTCAGATATTCATTGAGTACCTTCTATGTTCCAGACACTACACTAAACTCTGGGGGTACAAGATAAACAAGGTGTAGGGTTCTAATAGAGGTTATGTTTGAGCCTGGAGCAGATAAGAAATAAGATCCAAATATATATAAATAATAATTATGATGGAATTAAATACAATAGGTGGCTATGATAAATTGTAATTAATTATAAAAATTATAATATATGCTATAAAGAATTTATAAAAGGACAAGAGGAAGTTAAGTCAGTAGAATGTGAGCAGGGATGGTCTTCTAGAGACAATGGCATGTGAGATGAGTCTTGAATGGTGAGAAGAATCCAGCCCCACAAAATCTGGGGACAGGGTTTCCAGGCAGAGAGAAAAGCAAAGACGGAAATCCTGAGGCAGAAGTGAGTTTGTTGTGTACAAAGAATGAAAGGATGTGGCTGGCATGGGCTAAGCCAGGAAGAGAGAGGTAGAAGATGGGACAGAGATGGGCCAGTCCAGATCATGCAGGGCCACGCAGGCTGTGGGGCAGAGCTTGGTTTTATGCTAAGTGCTCTGTGACTTTGGGCAAATTATTTGATGATTTCTGTCAAATGATGAGTGTGGGGTGGTGGGGGTGGAGCAGTTGAATGTTCTAGAATGCTAAGTTGAGCCTCCTCTAATTGAGGACCTGGGAGAGACGCCATAAATCTCCAATGTGAGGAGAAAGTAAGGTAGCAGGTAAAATAGACTGCAAGGAGATCCAACCAGCCAATCCTAAAGGAAATCAGTCATGAATAGTCACTGGAAGGACTGATGCTAAAGTTGAAACTCCAATATTTTGGCCACCTGATGCAAAGAATTGACTCATTGTAAAAGACCCTGATGCTGGGAAAAATTGAAGGCAGGAGGAGAAGGGGATGACAGAGGATGAGATGGTTGGATGGCATCACTGACTCAACGGGCCTGAGTTTGAGTAGGCTCCAGGAGCTGGTGATGGACTGGGGGGCCTGGTGTGCTGCAGTCCATGGGGTTGCAAAGTCAGACACGACTGAGCGACTGAACTGAACTGAAAACTGAACTGAACTGAACTGACACCTCCAGGGTTGCTCATCACTGGGCTGGGGCAAACTCACATTTGGCCTGGAAAGGAAGGAGCAGGAAGGTCTGGGAGACGCATCCCTCCGAAAGTGGAACCTGCCTTCCTCCCATTTTCAATTTTTGAGATGCACGGAGTACTTTTTCCTCACTCTGCCAATCTCCTCCTCATGTGACATTGGAGCTGCCTAGTGAGCATAAGCCTGGGATTGGGGGTCAGGGACCTTGGGCTCTGGACCCCCACCTCTAAATAACTCGTGACACCAGCCAGTCTCTTCCTGGGTCTGGGCCTCCAGACCCTCATCTGGGACCATGATTAAGATTCCTTCTAGAGCATGGACTCTGATTCTATTATCTTCCTCTTCACCAGAGATGAGAAGGAGTATAAACCGTGCATGGAAGTGCACCCAAACTCTCCTAAAATAATAAAGCAATTTCCTTTGAGACGGTTGACAAGGAAAGCCAGGAGGCCCTTGCAGAAAATGATGAAACCCAGTCCCAGCTGAATATTAAGTTAGAGAGAGGTCTGCAACCCGGCCAGGGGGCTGAGAGAGGGGGAGATGCCAGGGTGAGGGGAGAGAGAAATTTTAATTGCGATTGTTTGGCCTGCTGAACCTAGGCAAATGACAAGGAGCCCCCAAGCAGCCTCAAACACGGATATTTGAAAGGCAGAGAAGGCTGGGGGATGGTTTGGCTTCGCCCTCCCCTCTGAGGCTGTTTGAGGAGCAGTCTGCGGCGCTGACAAGCACGGGTTTTGGAGGCCATTGAAAAGTTTTGGGCCTAAATAGGGTAGGCAGCTTGGCTTAAGTGTTGCTATGGAATACCTGGCAACCGGCAACAATAGGCCTTTTAGAGAATCCAGGGCAAACAGTGACCGTGGTAATGGGGTGGGCTTAAGGGTCTCCTTGCCCGGCTGGGCCCCTCCTCTCCTCACAGAGGCCTGGGCGCTGGGCTATGTTCCGGAAATTCCCCGCACAAAGCCCCATTCAGTGGGAGGAGGGTCAATGCGTGTGCTTTTGGAGGGGGCGGCGGCGGGACTGGGGAAAAAAAAAAAACTCCCTCAAGTCTCTTTCTTCTCGCCAAGACTAAAAGAGGCACAGAAAGTGCTAAGTTTGTAAAAGAGGCTGAAAAGGTTCAGAAAAGTAGCATAAAAGGGCCGGGGAACGCCCCGTGAATTTTGAACAGAGAGCAGAAAAGAGACCCTAAAAAGCAATTAGTGATGCTGCTTGTAAATGGAGGCAGCGCGCTGGGGGTGGGAGCTGAGGGCTGGAGGTAGGTGCGGAGGCGGTGAGAGGCTGGGGGGGGGGGGTGGTGTGCTGGGAGCAGGTGAGGAGAAGGGTGGGATGGGTGAGGGGCCAGGGAGGCCGGGGAGTCTTGGAGGGGTGGACAGCGGCGAGCCCTCCGCCCCAGCCAGTCCTGGCTCTAATTGCATGCCTTCAAGCTGCTCTCTGCTGGGTCTGTGCGGCTCAGACTGTCCCCTGGTTCCAGCAGCCCCCCCAAAAGGCCGTGGAGCCTGAGACGGTGACCGGCCTCCCACCCTTTGGTCCATGATGACCATGAAGGAATCCTCAAGTCTCTGAGAGAGTGGCTACCCGCATTCTCTTGGCAGCGGAGTGATGGCAGGGTGCTGGGGAGCTGGGTGTCTTCCTGAGTTCCGGGGCGGGGGTGGGGGAGGCTCGTAGGACAACCCGCGGAGCCCGGCAGAGCAGCCAGCAAATTAGCACTCTGCAAACCCCACGTGCCCGCGCTGCCTAACATCCGTGCTCCAACACCCTACTCCACCGCTCTAAAGATAATAATTTTATATTTCCAGCAGAATGTGCACAGTGACAATTATCTGTATTCCTACTGTGTCGCAGCATCAACGGATCATCAAGAGAATTATGTTCCAGTTGAAAGCAAATTTAAATAAACAGACACTAAATGGGAGCCAATAATAGATGTACCAAAATAGTCCAGGCGAGAAAGCAGCCATTTAAATACAGGACTGTTGAGTGGAGAAGGTAAGAGGCGTCCAGACCCCAGGGTTTACAGTTCCCAGACTGCAGCTCAGCCCGGCTGATTCTTTCCAATGATCTCTAGGGTTCTGACCAGAGCGCTATCCTAAGCTGCTGCTTCCCTTTCCCTGCCTCCCTCTCTTATTCCTTTCTCCCCACCTCTCTCCTGTCCTTCCTCCTTCCATTACTCCCTCCTTCTCTCCCTTTCACTCCCTTCTTTATTTCAACAAACATTCATTATTCATTATCAACTAGCCGCCTTTGGGCGCCTTTATCAAAATTATTAAGCACCACACATCTTGATATCTGTGACCCTCTGCTCCAGATTCAAATTGGATCTTGCTGCCCCTCTATGGGGCAGGGGAGGAAGTTGTTAGCCCCCAAGGAGAAAATCAAGCTGTTGTTTCCATAAGAAGGGAGAATGGAATGCTGAAGAGGCAAAATAATGAAGGTCCAGTACATATTCATTCAACCATCACATATTTATTAGAGGTTACTCTGTGTGCCAAGCGCTGTTCTAGGTCCTGGGAATTCAAAGATCAAAGTGTAGGTCTCTCTCCTCAAAGAGCTTCCAACCTTGCAAAGAAAAGATAACCAGGCCGCTGGATGTGGGTGGGTGTCACATACACTGGAAGCACCAGAGAAGGACCTGCCAGAGTGAGGCGAAGGAGACTTCAAGAGGAGCCAGCTGTGACTTGAAGGCTGAAAAACAGAACACATTTTGCTGGGCAGAAACCTAGCCAGGGGACATTCCTAGCAGAGGGAAGAGGTTGTGCAAGGGTAGAGAAACAAGAGAAGAGTTGGTGTGTTCAGGAGCTTGCTAGTGCTTCAGCAAGAGTAGCTTCAGGATCTGGAAGTCCGACAGGGAAGGCAGTCAGGAGGGCTGGGATGGGGAGGTGTGGGGGAAGTAATTGGCGACAACATAAAGGGCTTCGCTGGCTCTGTCTGCTCTTGAGGTTGGGGTGATGAGCAGAAACCTCATTTCTGCTGGCCTCTCGCTTCCCTTCGTGGGGACTTCTGTTAGCGTTACTCTCCTGGCTTCTCTGTCTCTTCCCTCACTCCTGTCCAGGCCCGAGGAGGTGGGCTTCATTTCTCTTCTGTCCTGTATAGAGCAGCCCCTCTGATGCATTCCCAGCCACCTGTCATAGAAGTCTGTCCTTACACAGAGAGACCTAATTGTGGGTGTTCCGCTGTTAGGCAATCTAATTCTGGGGTATAGGGTTAGGGAGCTAGTGTTTCCCCAAACCTAAGCCTAGTTTTGACTGTATTTTCATTAATAAAACTGCTGTTTTGATCTCTGTCCATTTTTGACTCCTTTCAAGTGAGCTCTGCTTTTTAAACCCTTGAAAAGTCCAGGCAAGCTATAGAGGTTAGGAAAGGGACCAGTGGGGGAGGGTGAGCATGGGGACAAATGGCATGAGGAGGCTTTTGTGTTAAAAGTGTCACTTTGAGAGCAGTCCTCCTGGGTTCTCTTATCCCCCTGCTGGCCACCTGGGTGCCCCTTCCTAGTAAAGTCTCTTGCTTTGGGGAAAAAAAAATGTCGCTTTGGCAGCTGGGCAGAGGATGGATTGGAGAGGGTAAGGAGATTTAGAAGGAAAGAGATGGTAAAGATTTTTTTTTTTTTAAAACTGAACTACAAATGTATTTATATATTTAATAATTGTATTTTCCAGAGATCAAACCGGGTCTCCTGAATTGCAGGCAGATCTTTACCATCTGAGCCACCAAGGAAGCCCTAGTCACTCGGTCATGTCTGACTCTCTGTGACCCCATGTACTGTAGCCCACCAGGTCCCTCTGTCCATGGGATTCTTCAGGCATGAGATGTATGCGTTGCAATGCAGGAGATGCAAGAGTCNTCTTTACCATCTGAGCCACCAAGGAAGCCCTAGTCACTCGGTCATGTCTGACTCTCTGTGACCCCATGTACTGTAGCCCACCAGGTCCCTCTGTCCATGGGATTCTTCAGGCATGAGATGTATGCGTTGCAATGCAGGAGATGCAAGAGTCACAGGTTTGATCCCTAGGTTGGGAAGATCCCCTGGAGTAGGAAATGGCAACTCGCTTCACTATTCTTGCCTGGAAAATTACATGGACAGAGGAGCCTGGTGGACTACAGTCCATGGGGTGGCAAAGAGTCAGACATGACTGACCATGAACACACACACTCAAGTAATCAGCCATATCCCAATACAACTGCTAAGTCACTTCAGTCGTTTCCGACTCTGTGTGATCTCATAGATGGCAGCCCACCAGGCTCCGCCGTCCCTGGGATTCTCCAGGCAAGAACACTGGAGTGGGTTGCCATTGCCTTCTCCATCCCAATACAAAGTAGAAGTTAAAAATAGACATGAATATATTGTTTTATGTTTTATTTTAATGAAAATACATAAAATTACAAAACATGATGCTTCATTTTAAATTTGTAATAGAATTCAATACTAGAGAAAATATAGCTAAAATGAAAGGTCCAGCAATCTTGAATTGGGTTCTTTATGACATAGGGGTTGTTTGTACACATGGAAGAGAGGATAAATGTGATATACATGACATTTGTAAATTCACTTAGAAAGACAAGAGATGATGAAAATGTTAACTAGGAAAACAGTGGCAGTGGATGATTTGAGTGGAGATAGAGAAGGGATGTGGAGGGAGAGACAGTCTGAAGATAGAATTAATAGTCGTTGGGGGCTGATTGGATGTGAGGGTAAGGAAGAATCTGGGCTTCTGATTAGTCAATAGGATTCTCATTTGCTGGGATAAGGAATGGAGTTGAAGTGCAATGGACAGAGAGCACAATAATGAGCTTATTTTGTGACATACTGACCCCAGGACACAGAGCAGTCCATTAGGGAGTTAGATATACAGGTCCGCAACTCAAAAAAAAAATAATCTGGCTGGATTTAGATATGCATCTAGAAATAATTACTGAAGCACAGAAATAAGAATAGTTGCTAAGAGAAAGGGTATGGAATGAGGCAAAGAGAAGTGTGTGGAGGCAAACCAATGTTTAAGGCAAGTTTGACGAAAACATATTGAGTTATACCTGAGAATTAAGGGGGACTATTATCTATACCTCCTGTTATTGGCATCTGATGTTACTTGAGAATCTAAGCTATCACATAATGTACCTTCCAGAAAGCCCCCCAAGCCACTTTTTTTGTTTACTAAGGGTTCAAGCTGCTATATGCTAGGTAGCCATCATTGTAACCATCTATCTGAATATCTCACACATATGTAGCATATATAAAAGCTAATATTTATTGAACATTATGATGTATCATCTTTGATACTTTGCTAAACTTTTTACACACATTTATACTAGGCAGGTATGGTCATGTTTGTTTTGAAAATGAGGAAACTGAGGCTCAGAGCAGTCTGGCAGTTCAAACTTTGAAACCAGAACTGTCCAACTACGAAGCTCATGCTCTGACCATAGGTCACGCGGCTTATCTTTATCAAAGAAGATGCCATATGAGTTGAAGTGTTTAGGAGTTTACTACCTGGCCACCTTCCTCAAGAAGAATGCTAACACTAAACGTAAAATTAGCTTGAATCCTGCAACTTGTTTATTGAACAATGTTAAGTGCTGTGAAACTCAGTTTTCCTCATTGGTGGTATGAATGTGTAATACTTTCTTCACAGGTATACTTCTCCCTGCTACCCTGCGGGAATCCGTATTATAGAAAGCTCAGTGACTAAGATAGATGCCCACATTGCAGAAATGTTTCTTTTCCCTCTAACTTTAACAGAAAAAAAATCCAAAACACAACAAACCAACCTCTAAAATGTGCTGAAAATAGAAAAAACACCAAGAAAACATCAACAATATAGAACATTTATTTAAATATCATGATAAGAGAAGTAGCATAACTGTGAAAAGGCCCTTGTTTATAAATATTAGAAAGAAAAATCTAACAAAGAAAACTATGTGACAATACTGAAGTTTTGATATGAGAGTTAAATGTTTTTCCTTGTTAGAAAACTATAATTGAGATCAAGAAGATTAGACTTACTAGTTCCTATTTAGTATTTTCTCCTATTTGTATTTACTATTACTTTGTAGCTGTACATTCTTGTAACTTAAAGCTCTCTGTCAGAATAAATAATCTGCTTCCTTAATTCATCTGCCTAGGAGTAATTAGGATTACCTTTCCCTTCAAGTTTCATTTAGAGTAAGGGAGATTAAAGATGCATAAATGCTACTTAAACTCACTTCTGTACTGGAGTTTCTCCGTGAGTGTAAAGCAGCGTGGCGGGGTAGGGGTGGGGGTTGCGGAACTCTTGGATGGAAAATTCAGGATGGGATTAAGAAGCAAAGAAAAATGTGACCAAAGAAAGTCAAAAGGCAGTTGGAAGCAGTTAGGTATAATGAACAGTATCATTTAATACAAACTCTTTCAGTTGATATGAAAGAAACCCAAATCAAATCCAAATAAAAGAGAAATTGTTGGATATATATGGAAAAGTAGGGGAGTATGCAATTTCAGGAACACTTGTATCCAAGTGCTCATATTACATATTGTCAGAATTCTTTTACTCCCATCTCTCTTAACTGGCTTTTCTCTGGACTGGTCCACTCTCAGGAAGGTTATTACTTCATGCTAGCAAGGTGAACACCACTAGTTCCAGGCTTACATTCTACCAGCATAGCAACTCCCGAAAAGATTTCAGCAAAAAAGCTGGCCTGTTTTCACTGACCAGTCATTGTGGTCAAGGGATGGAATACACTGATCGATTAAGCCTGGGTCATTGCTAACTCCTGGAGCTACAGACTGAATCAGATCCAGAAGAACCACGTGAACTAAGAGGAGGAGGGAAGAAAGTCTCCAAAAGAACCATAGGGGGAATGTAGGATAGGCAGGCAAAAACAATAGAGGCCTTATATTCATTTGACAGTGCTGTCATAACAAAGTACCACAGGCTGGGTGGTTTAAACATCAGAAATGCATTGTCTCAGTTCTGGAGGCTGGATGTCTAAAATCAGTGTCAGCGGGGTCACTTCCTTCTGAGGGCCATGAGAGGAGCAGCTGTTCCAGGTCCCTCTCCTTGTCTTGTAGATGGCTGTCTTCATGTTCACCTGTGTTTCTGTCGTGTCTAGATTTCTTCCTCTCATAACAGCACCATAATGGATTAGAACACACTAAAATGACTTCATTTTATCTTGATTATCTCTCTCATGACCCTGTCTCCAATGGTCACATGCTGAGGTACTGGGAGTTAGGACTTCAATATACCTCTTCCGAGGGGAACACAATTCAACACGTAACATGCCTCTATATAGGATGTACTTTATTTCCTGGTCTAAATAGTCTCTGTTCTTAATTATCCATTTGACTGAGTCATGTCTTAGCTGGAGCATGCAGAATCTTTGTTGTGTCCGGTGGGATTTTTGCTGTGTCTCACGGGCTTCCTAGCTGTGGTGAGTGGGCGGGGTTGCTCCACAGCATGTGGAATCTTAGTTCCCAAAGTGAAAGTGAAGTCGCTCAGTTATGTCCGACTCTTTGTGACCCCATGGACTGCAGCCTGCACCAGGCTTCTCTGTCCATGGGATTTCCCAGGCAAGAGTACTAGGGTGGGTCGCCATTTCCTTCTTCAGGGAATCTTTCTGACCCAGGGATTGAACCCGGGTCTCCCGCATTGCGGGCAGACGCTTTACCCTCTGAGCCACCAGAGAAGCTTAGTTCCCAATCAGAGATCAAA